TTTAATAAGTTAGTTTAAGTCAATTTAGATTATTTTATATCTATTTTTAATTGATTTTTTATTTATTTTTTAACATTGAATTGATTGAAAATCAAGTTTTATGATTTTTTTATTTGTTTTTCATGGATTATCATGATCGATATTAGTCTTAACATTGAATTGATTGAAAATTAAGTTTTATGATTTTTTTTATTTGCTTTTCATGGATTATCATGATCGATATTAATTTAAGTTGACTTAAATAATTTTTTTATTCTTTTTTAATTTGATTTTTTTTTCACAATTTTATATTTAAACATTGCGGTGATTAATAATTGATATTTATAATTTATTTTTATTATCTCGTAACTTGGGTTATCAATTTGGATTATTAACCCAAGTTAATTTAGGTAATTTTTTTAATTTAATTTTTTTCTTTAAATATCATATTTTAACATTGAATTAATTAAAAATTAACCTTTATAATTTATTTTTATTTTTTTATATGGTTATCAATACCTCATATTATAGAGTTGATATATTAGAATAAGTTAATTTAATACATTATAATTTTAATATTTTAAAATTTTTTATTCAGCATGTTCTTATATTAATATTTTAAAAAATATCATTTATTTAATATGTATTATATTTTTTGAATTTATAATTAATTTTTTTATTAAAATACATGTTAGGATAATTTTTTTACATTAAAAAAATCGATCCTACCTTCATCAAAGCAAAAGCGAATAATCTTGTTTGTATGTATGTTACGAAATCGTACCTGAAACCTCATATGATTCTGCCACATATCTCTTATCGTAGCATTTAATAGATAAAGGCAAAGCCTATAATGATTCTCCGAGCCGGGATGGCTACCTTTCGGCCTAACCCCACGAGACGTTTTCACGGGCTATATAATTACCTATTCGCAGTTTACGAAAAAGCCCACGATGCATCTCACAATCAAAGTATTTTTTTTTCTTTCCAATTTTGTCACTTTGTGGAATGGTCATCCTCTTCCCTGTCTAGACATCTATCTTAGACTCCCTGACCAATCAAAACTGCCATTTGTTTTGATTGTCGGATGTTAATCTGCGGTCTAAATTATGCTGAGGTTGGTGGGGTATACAGAATTACCATTCAACAAAAGAATACAGGATTAGGACATGGCAATAATGTTAGTTTATGTATTTGCCGTGAGCACGGAGAGAAGGGAAACAGAGCATGGGGCTGGAAAAGCACTTTGGTCTTGAAAGAATTCTTTTTCACAGTGCCTTTTGGACAAAAACATCAGTGGTACCATTACTCATCAGAATGATTACTGGTACCAGACAGCTCAGGGAGACATGAAGAGTGAATGCAACAAATTACCCCACAAGACCCCCACTGGCACTCTTCCAACTTTCAACATTATACTGCAGAGAATGTTGTCTCCCTCGCCTTGAAAATTCTTGGCATGCATTTCAAAGGGATTTAGCAAGATTAACCTTTTAACACCATTCCCAAACAAGATGGAAAATGAAAATAAAAAAGCCTTAAAAAGAAGACTAATGTTGATTAATAGTAGAAATACTTGGGGGGGAAAAAAGACTATCTCGTTTAACTTGATCTCGAAGCTCTAATGAAAGAAGGAACTTTTCTTTGCTGCTGGTTTTGATGTTGAAGGCGAAGCAACAAGAGGAAGTACCTGTGAACTGCTTGAAGGGTGGTGTGCTAGCTGGTGATTTTGTTCATTAAACTCTCTTTCTTTGTTCCTGTCAACAATGATGGTGATAAAAGGCCCATCATCCTCGTCTTTTAGAAAATTTGAACTAGGAGGTCTTTTGTTGTAATCTTGAGCAAAAAAATCTTTCTTTGGGACCATCTCCTCAGCTTCTTGCATCAATCTCCTTGCATATAGTTTCTCCTCCGCATCCTGTAAGAACTTGAATTTTGGAGGAGGTGATGACCTTATCTTGTTGAACTCTGCATCTTTTGATGATTCAAAGAGATGGTTGAATCCAATCTGGTTATAGCTAGGAGTAAGAGGAGGCGTGAAAAATGGTGGAGAAGCAAGAGGGGTTAGATATGGAGTCTCCACAGTAAGAAGCAAATCACTCAAGCTTCTACTTCCTGATCCTTTTGCGCTCTTGTTATCAACTCTAGACCTGCCATCTTCAGACTCTAAATCCTCCTTTGTTTCTTCAACAATTGTAAAAAGAAATCTTGGTGGACCTGAGAGACTATGCAGCCTCATGAGCTCTGTCTCCACATTATCATCACTGAAGGGCCTGAGCAACAAATCTTTGCTTGTACTAATATTGAGCTGAGATTCTTGATCATGATGCACAAGTGTATCTGTGATTCTCACTGAAGAACATAGTTCTTGATTGTTCCTTAAAGTAGACGGCTTTCTTAAACAGAACATAAAAAAAAGCTCTCTTGCCGGGCTGCTGTAATCATCTCCTATCTCTTTGTTAGCAAGCCTTCTCTTCCACCATAACAAATAGTAGAGCTCAGCAACAAGAGCCAACAAAAGGCAACCAAAAACTATACTCAAACCAAGCCCTACACTACTCAAAGATTTCATCTTGTCTCCAAATCACATGAAAACTGCTTAAAACATCCAAGTAATATATATTAAAGAGCTAAGAACCAACAGACGTTACCATAAATAACTTGAGAATCACTTGTAGTACTAGTGAAAGGAGAGAAACCAAGATAAGCAAAAGCTTACTGAGAGACAATGAGCAGTCCCAATCTGCACTGAACACAAGCCAAGGCCAACAGCACATCAAACTCACTGCTGCTCTTTAGCAAATGCTTTAATAAGTATACCAACTTTATCTGTCAAAACCTAAAAAAAAAAAAAAACCCACCTGCTAAAACCAGACCAAAAAGCTCTTCTCTGAAAATCACATCCACAAATCATGAAGCATGATTATAAAACACTTTTTTACGACAAACCAATGAACTAAACCACACATTTGCGGATAATTACATATTTAACAAAGCCCACAAGGTCACTGGAACAGTTGTACATTAGCAAACAGCATTAATCAAGACCATAACATACCACATTTAGTTGTCAAAATCCACACAGAAACTACAGAATCTAGCTAATAAAAACACATCAATGGACGAGGCACAAAAGTGGTCGGCAATACTACACACTAGTTTATGGCTTGACAGGTCACATTCTTCGAGGGATGCTCACATGGGATCACAAATAAAAGGAAAGTGATATGTCATTGATGGGCATTTCATCTAGTTCTCTTATTTACAGAACTACCCTCGCTGTTGAATAAACTACTATTCGTGGCAATTAGGACAAAATCTTGTGTCGAAACTTTAACAAAATTCTGGCAGCTTTGTTTCTTCTGTGATTTTTTTTCTTAATTTCCAGTATTAGAATAGCAAGCAACACATGAAACTCATAATAGGAGCTTTCACTGGCATAACATTGATTTGAGACATTGATATATGGTTTGGAAGTGTCAGTGATACATGAGTTGCTTCAAGATGTGAGCTTTTCGATAAAGAGGTCCTCTGATTATATTGGCCCAACAACTCATAAAAAGACTTCCTCTCTCGCATGGAGCTTGATTGACGGTTCGTATTACTGTCGAAGCTGTGATCACCATCATTATGTTATAGAATTGGGGTATCCAGCTGGACCATTTTACTTTCTTGTAGGTGTTCACCACATGGGATCTGTGAAATCTATCTGGGAAAGGGTGGGATACCTAATGGACCTATTATAAGTAAAGCCCAGATTGCTTGAGAAGTATTTCAAGTCCTTAATCATCTTTTTTTTGGACATATATGGCATGGATAATATATGGATTGACAAGAATTAATTTATTGTAAAATGACTTTCATGATTTTTTATCCCTTGATAACGGGCTTCCCTGCCTCGGCCTCTGCATTGCTTCAAGCAAAGGATTTGTGGGTCTGGAAGCTCAAAAATCTGTATGCCTATGTCCGGGTCGCAAATGACTCGGTATGATATCTCATGCCTTGAATCTGGCTAAATTCTAATTCATCAATTGGAAGTAATTTGCTTTGACAAGCACAGCATGTATGCTACTCAAATTAACAAATGAGTAGCCGTACACGACTCTTGAAAAAAAATAACAGTGCAAAACAAACGGCCGTATAACTAATCCAGACTTGGAAACGACGTGCCAAAGAAGGGAAAAAACAATTATGATATGCTCTCTGGTAGCTTGCTTGCTAAGTCAATTTGATCGCTGTGATTCACCAGAATCCGGCAGCCGAAAGGTGTGGGATTCTGACTGATGGTGGGCTGACGTTGAGACACCGATGTCGGCCCGACAAAGCGGGCAATTCGAGTGAGAGAATAGCCACATATCGATACAAGAAACATGAAATTTATGCACATTCAGGCTAACCTCTTCACCATCCTTGAACTCATTTAAACACACTGCACTTGCTACATCTTCAGATTTTGACACCAAACCAGTGTCATCGGTGTATTTACACGTAGGGATAAGCGATGCAATCGAAACAATAAATTCAACGTAGAAGGTGAAAATAAACAGAGAATATTGAGAAAAACTATTGAAAGTAGCTCTCTCTCTATACATACACTTTTTTTTTTTTGGATAATATGATTAGACAAAGTTGTTGTCAATCCTCTTGATGTATATTTAATCTAATGAACTTAAACAATTAATTGCATACATTCACCCTCGGCTATTAACCATATTGTACAGAGGAGATTGGCCGATGTTCTCTCTGAACACTTACCGTCTTTATAATTTGTTGCAATATTGTGCAAACCACCTCTACTTGATACGAGCTTCCTATAATTAAGAGATCCTCTTTAGTTTTTCAAGAGCGATTTTTTTATACCACCCCAGGGAGAAAGAAAGAAGGAATTAAATGTTGATTATTGGTAGAATTTATTCATCTGATATTGCAGCTTTCATGAGTCAAACTCACAATTTTCTAATGAAATTAATAACGTGGGAGAATAGAGAGTTAGTTTGTATGTAAATTACCTATATATTTTATCTGGGATGCACATAGAAATTAAACCAATCAAGCTATTAGCCACCCTTTTCTATGCTTGCCTGCCATTCGCTGCTCGCTAGCCCAGCTATCTTTTCCTTAGAACTAAAGGAGTTAGGGGGGACTGCTAGATGTTGTTTGTTAATAGATCGCATTTATGTCAAGAAAATCTTTGAATAGCTCTCCCACGAAACAAATATAGATCTAAAGTACCTCGAATTGCTCGCTTCGACAGTAGGAGTAGCTCGGTAGGCTAGAGCTTTTGGCTGTTGACCACAACGTCGAAGGTCCAACGCAGCGATATCGGGCTCGTGTTATGGGATTTACGACCTCGTGAATCCTGCCATGTAAATTATAATCATACACTCTGTTGGTCTTCAAGGATAAAAACAACAGATTGCACCTTAAGAAAATCTTGGACGGTCAAATTTGCTCACGCCCACGAATGTACAACATTATAACTCAACATTCCTGCAAACAACGTGCGTAGAGCACTATTATACTGCACTCTCAAGGCTAAAATTCCTGGACAGAGACAACAACGGCATGATACGCTACTAGAGTGCCCGTGAATGTATAATTATATCCTGTAGCCTATCTATATTTTGATACACCACTGATGGCCTCTCAGAATCCAAATCTCTTGCACTCAAATAGACCCCGGGAGAAGGTGTGGTATCGGTGCGACACATTGGACAATTTGTATGCGAATGGAGCCACATATCAATGCATTCGACATGGTAAGAGTGCAAGCACTCTGGCAACGTTCGCAGCTCCTCACCTTCTTCAAATTCATTCAAGCAAATTGCACAAGTTCCATCATCACCCACCAAGCCCATACCCTTTTGGAACTTATAGGCTGGGATGAGTTGGGCCGTGGAATTCTCAATACTGCTTTGCGTTGCCATGATTTCTATCCCATATTGTCGTGACCGTTGCTGATCAGTAGTCGTAGCCCTGAACCGGCGCATGGCAATACAGTGGTAGAGTGTGATAACAAGAGCTGCAGACCCAAGGCCAATCAGAAGAACGGCAATTTTTGAGTTAATATCATCACCTTCTTTTGACATGATGGATGCTGGCAATAACTAAGCTGGCCTGTGCCTAGAGGAGGCAAATTAACTAAAGACAGTGACGGTGTGTCCAAGACATACACTTTGTCTACGCGGCATAGAGTGTTGTCAGAAAAACATGGGATAAACACAAGAAACACCATTTTGTCCTGTGTGAAACAAGTCGGTCACCAGGCAACTTGATAACAGGATGACCCTCTCGAGACAAACGATTACAACAAAATGGAGGTGTTGCTATTTTGCACACCAAAAACTCTAATCAGCCGGTTATTTTCGTTAGAATGACTTAATTTAATCATAACTTCAAGGACAATTTTATCTTTCCGTAGAAAATTGTTATTTAATACTTTTTAGCTTCCAGGCATCGGTAGGCCTGGAATTTTTAATGCAAAGTATGCATCATCCACACGTATGTATATATAATTTATTAATGATCGATATTATTCGAATGGTGAGTTCTTGTCCGGCCTCAAGTTTTAGATATTGTCCTCTGTTTCATTGGTGAGTTTTCATGGGTTGAGCAGACCAAAATTATATAAAACTGAAACAGAGTTAACAAGGAGATGGCTCTATCTTATGAAATATCAGTAGGAATAAAATAAAAAGGCAGCTGCTAGCTGAGAAAGCATTAGACGGAAGCTTCAATCAAGTTCATCCAGAAGCCAAAATCTTACCCGTTATGAAAACCGTGGGTTCCCACTTGAGGTTTGGGTTATGGGATTTTGGGCCCATGACGTTTCTGGATAGTGTTTGCATTATTTAACATGAAATGGGCCTCATTGAAGTCAGATTTTTTCAGTTTGCCATAACACTTCATTTATCTACGACTCCATTCTTTAGGCTAAAAACCATTGAAGGATAGAGGACAAGATAAACTGTTAAAAAAAAAAAAGACTATAATGTACCTTTGCACAATTAATTATACATGAAATGTACAATATCGTGGAGTAGCATTAATTTGGAAGAACATTCACGGGGCAATTTTCGAAACTCTCAAGGCTAAAATTCCTAGAGAAAATAAGACAACCTTGCATGGTTACACAATTATATAGCCCGTGAATGCACAACAACGCCTTGTAGCACACCTCCATTTCGGTATGCCCGTGGTGGTCCCTCGAAATCCAAAACCCTTGCATTCAGAAAAAACTTGTGAAGGCGTGGCATCGGGGCGACATATGGGACAGTTGAAGTGTAAGTAGAACCACAAATCTATGCATGCCACATGGTAAGAGTGCAAGCACTCCGGCAACGGACGTAGTTCCTCGCCTTCTTCGAATCCACTCAAGCAAATCGCACCCATTCCATCATCACCTATCAAGCCCATACCCTTTTGGTACTTATAGGGTGGAATTTGTTGGGCCTTGTCTTGTTGGTTCATTCACGTGTAGTTGTGGCTCTGGTCGGTCATGTCCAGCTCTGTAGCGGGGGCAGCACCAAGTCATGGCAAGGAAATGGTAGATTGTGACCCATAGCTGCTGACCCAGCCCCGATAAGAAGAGCTACAACTTTCGAGTTAAGGCCATCGTTATTGTTGTCTGACATTGTAGCTAATGGCAAGCTAAGCGCCTCTGTTCAGAAGAAGCAAGTTAAAGAGAGGCGATGAATTCAGATAACACTTTGTCTATTCACAGCTAGTTGTAATATTTCTAGGAAAATTATGCCAGGAATACAAGAAAATCATTTTTTCCCGCTAGCAGTTATGTGATAGAGTCTAGCAAAAGCAAATTTTGATGGCTTGATCGTGATTACAACCGATAATAACCAGATTCTTCAGTTTTGCTATATGGCCATTTAGTCCAGCCAAAGGTCCAGTGTTTACATTTACAGTGAAATCATAAATGCATTTCCAGCTCCTAAGATGACGTTTTGTACATAATCAAGAAGATGGAGTTGAATTGTTACCAAATTAATTATTAGAAAAATATTTTTTGATGATATAGAAGTTAATTTTTTAAAAAAAATTAAAGGGCTGGGTATTAGTAAAGAAGAGAGAAAATAATTAAATTATTTATAATATTTGGTGAGACACAGTAAAAAATTAATTTTGTGTATATTTTGAATGAAAAGGAAAGAGAGGGACAAACACACACACACACATTCCTTTGAGATTAATGATTACCCATAGTTATTACCCTCTAAAAACAACACTTGGGGTACCTTAATAATTAATCCCCTAAAAATAAAAAATAAAAAGCGTTTAGATTTTACAAAGGTAAAATTCAACCCCCTTTACCCCAATGAAATACCCCCTAAATACTTCCCTTTTTTAAAAAAAATTGAATACAAACAAGAGGTTTAGGATAAGAAAAACTAATTAATTAAAGTTAATCTAATCTAACAATACTGATCATGATTAGCATAGTTTTTATTTTTTTATTTTTAAGAGGGTCATTCCGGCAATAGACACACTAACCTATGAATTTTTTTATGATATTTTACTGTTTATGTAAACAATAAAGCATATATTAGTATGTTCTTAAATCAATCTATTATAATTGAATGTTGTAGTTTAGTTGGTAACACGAGAAATAACACACATGATTGCTGGCTCGAATCCTACTAACAATCATGTTCTAGGTTTGTATTTCTCTATTGCCACGAGTTGTTGATAAACTCTTCCCAATTCTCTTATATAAAGAGAACTTTTCAACTTAGATGTTAATTAAAAGAAAGTAAATAAAAAAGCGATGGCTGATGAAGTGAGATAACTTCAAGGGACACCGTCTTTCTTAACATATCTGAATGTATGAAAATTGAATGAGGATGGAGGCGGCCGGCGAGCCTCCATAACAAATCCTATTGGTTAGATGAGGGACTTTTCGATAATTAAACTAGCAAATAAGGGAAAAGACGTGTAAAAGCAAGGAAGATGGAGAAAATTGGAAAAAGACGAAGGACCTTCTTCAATGGGGGTCATAAAATATATATATATATATATATATATATATATATATATATATATATATATTGTTAATATTCTTTTCTTTCAAAGAAAAAAAAAGATTGTATTGAAAAACTATAGAGAATCTTCAAAATGTGTTTTGATTAATTATAAGAGTTTGTTTATTTATATAATTGCGATTGCGTTTCAATTAAAACATAGTTTGTAGTTGTTTGATAATGAAAAAAATAATTTATTATATATGAATCCCACATAATTTTTACGTCTGAAATGTTGTTAATAAAAATCAAGAAAATCCTGCTTTTCACGCACTATGTATGCTAATTGTACTATTCACTAAATAGTATAATTAATATTAACAGTATAAAAGAATTGCAGTATTCACTTAAAAAATGATGAATAATATAATTCACTTGCACTGTTAGCACAATTTTTTTTTCAATGTGTTAATTTTATTTACATTTTAAAAAAACTAGTTCAGAGTGAATTAAATTTATTTGCACTGTGATATGAACAATATTTTTTCCCGAAAAACTAGTATAAAGTGATTTAAATTCACTCGCACTATAATATCAATTTTATACCTAATAATATTTTATCTAATTTTACTACATGCTCAAAAAATTATGAAAACTGTAATTCTTATCAGATGAATTTTATATATAATGGAATTATAAATAGTTTAATGAAATAATAAGAATATTTTTTATAAAATATTATTTACTTCATGATTTAATATGAGTAATTAATTCTATAATACTTAAATTTAAAACTATCAATATTAATATTTATTTTTTAAAATTATTTTATAACCTCAATTTCAAAAGCATTCTTAACCAAACATATTAAATTATTTTTTTTTCAACCGCAATTCAAACCACAATTTTAACTAAACAACTATTTTTTCAAATCAACCCCAATCAAAAGTATTTTTTACAAAATAGCGTTTTTTAAACCATAACTATAATAACTACACTTTTTACAAAATAACTTTTTTTAAACCATAACTACAATAATTATCGCAATACCAAATACATATTTAATTTAAAAACTGAGTTTTTAGTGTTTTTATGGAGTTATGTTGTATTTAAATAAAAAGTTTTAGTTTTTCTTTTTTCAAACTATTATTTTTAAAAAAAATATTAAAGTATTGCATGATTCGTATTTCGTTCACATCAATTAAAAACAAAAAACCGATCATTATTCGTAAATCTCTTGGTATTCGAGTGTCCACGCTCTGAAAAATTCTTATTTCAATCACCAATTTCACTAATACACCGACCTTAGATTTTTAAGGGCAGGCCATGTACACATGTAAAGGAAGGCGATTATTTGCAATGCTCGGAAGTTTTTATTTTTATATTTCTTTTACAATAAGGTTCGGTGGATCAGCTTTACCAACATTAAAAAAATAAAAAGTTTTAAATAGGGCACAGGAACCCCCAGCAGATACTACCAGTCCATACCTGGAAAGAATCATTTTACGATTCATTAGCTGCTAATGTATATATCATTTTTATTTTTATTTTTATTTTTATTTTTGGCTGCTAATTATCATTTTGTTCGATCTGTTGGTGGGTTTTGAGGGGACTGAAATCTTCATGCTGTTGCTTTCCAAGGCTACACGTCGAGTCTCGAAGTGAAAGATGGAATCTTCAATAATGCTGCTTTACATTATTGCTAATCAGTTTCCACTCTCCAATGGCTTATCACTTTGATGGGCTGCAATTGGTTGTGATAAGGCTTCAAATAGAACGGCACCTGAAACCAATAGCGACTAGGCATTATCCAGGACAGTCCTCTGATAAGGAAACCGTACTTTATACTTTTTTTAGCTGCTAGATGCATAATTATTTTATCTCAGGCTTTCATTTGCTTAATTTGTGCGCTATTGGCTGAGGAATTCTTCCAAGACTCAGCCACTGGGGTTATGGTGACTTGAATTCGTCATCGAAATTCGATGCCAGGTTGGAAAATTTAAAATTAAAATAAAATGCACCTAACTCTGGTTTGACGCCTTTCGATTAAAAAAAAATCAATGATATTGATTCTACGCTGCCCTTAAAGTACTGATGAAGCGTGTAAAATACTACCAGGAACGCCTAATCACGTCTTTCTTGCTATTGACGAAAGCATGATTGCATCTTTAATATCTTCCAAGTCTATGGATATCATGACAATTCTTACCTGAGATGGTGTTTTCTCCTCGAAGTCCAACTGCATTTTTTTTTAATTTCTTGAGTTTAAAATTATTTTAATATATTAATATCAAAAATAAAATTTTAAAAATAAAAAATATTATCTCAGTATATTTCTATATTTATAAAAAACAAAT